GGGTGCACAGTTTGAAGGTAAGGCGCAGAAAGTTTACAGGGAATTTGAGGAAGATAATTTTCACTCAGAGTGGCAAGTGCCGAAAAGGGTGGTAAGAGGCAGGAACCATCAAGACATTTAAAAAGCATTTAGACAAGCACTTGAACCATCATAGCATATAAAGCTACAGTCCAAGAGTTGGAAAATAATGTTAGAATAAATAGATGCTTGATGACCTGCACAGAAACAATGGGCCAAAGGGCCCTTTTCCGTGCTGTAAGAATTCCATGACTATGATATCCAAAGGAGTGTTAGTGTTTCCAGTTATGTTGTATCTTTGACCTCTGTTGAGACAGCGCTGTGTGCAAGTGAAATAGCCAAATCAGTAGGATTCCAGGTTTAACTCCTGGCTCTGTGCTGAGTTAGCTTCAAATAGAATAGTGGAAGGAGAATTTTAACACCACTAGGATAGGAAAGGGAACAGGAAGGGGCAAGCCCATTTCTATTCCTATGATGTATGCAAGGGTGGCTAGTTACAGCCTCCAGAGTATTTAATATTCACCTTATTTCTTCTGAGAAAAGGACGGTGCATGGGTGTTGGAAAACAGCTGGGTTAGAGTATCAGTTCTGGCATTCATCCAAACTTGAATGTGTTTGCAGTGTCTACTGTGGTTCAATTGTGGCATCTTCACCTCAAAGCCACAACTTGTGGCTTTAAGATTCCACTCCAGGACTTAAGTTCAAAAATTAAGGCTAACACTCCACTGAAGTACTGAGGGAGTGCCAGGCTGTTGGGAGGCACTGCCTTTCAGAGCAGATGTCAAACTGAGGTCCCATCTGCCCCAAAGGTGGATGTAAAAGACTGCCATGGCAGTTATCCCTGGTGCTCTGGCCAACATTTATCCCTCAATTATAATCACAAAACTAGTTACCTGGTCATTATCATACAGCAAGCTGCCACAAACTGTAATGTACAAAAGGCACATTTTCTGATTTCCTAAATTAAAATAGAGACTATGCTTAAGTACTTTATTGGATGTGAGGTGCTTGCGGACACTTTGTGATTGTACAAGGGCGTTATGTAAATGCAACTATCATCATCTAGCCTTTAAGAACTTAAATAGGACGAGTAGCCCATTCAACTCTTTGACCCACTTCAGCATTTAATGAGATCATGGCTGATAAATCAGCTTAAATGATTTTTCTGTACTACCCATATATCCCTTGATTTTATAACTGTGTAGAGATTTATCAATTTTAGTACTGAACATACTCAACAACCAAAGATTCATCACCCTCAGTGAAGAAATTCTCTCATCTCAGTCCTAAATGGCCTGTCCACTATTCTGAAACTAGGTTCTCTGGTTCTGGACCTTCCAGTCAGGGGAAATATCCTTTCTGCAGCTACTCTATCAAGCCCTTTAAGAATTTTGTACATTTTGAGATCATCTACTATTCTTCTAAACTCCAAAGAATACGTAGTCCAGACTACTTAATCTTTCCCCAGGAGATAACTCCAGCCCAGGAATAACCCGACAAACCTTCACTGAACTTCATCTATGGCAAGTGCAAGTTTTATAGAGTAAGACTACCAAATCTACACAAAGACAGTGACTGCATAAGGTACATATAAACAGATGGAAGGCAGATGGAGTTAAAATTCAAGCTAGCTATTACACAATCAGGGATGGAAAATTGAATGGTTTACTCCTGTATCTATTTTCTATTAACGCCTCAACACAGCATACTTCATTGGGCTACAACAATGGTGGGAACGGGCTATTTAATCTAATGGTAAATTATTTCGAGGATAGGAAGTGACACTTCTTCAGTGCAAGAGGAACCCTCAGGAGCTCCAAGGATCTAAGCAAAAGCAGTGAAATTTTCACATTTCCCAAGGTTTTGCTCTATCACTTTTCAGGGAACAAGTGCTGAATTGTACATGGCTTCCCGTTGCCTCAGTGCTTGCAGAAAGATCTCTCCAGTGAGAGATGAATTTCATTGAATAACATGAATGAATCAACTGGACTCTTGTTTAAGTTGAATGACTGACCCTTTGACCTTACAAACTTGATCATGTCTCCTAGACAGACCCCAAGTATATGCTAACCTCCAGAAAAGACATGAATGTGATCCAAATGATTTATCTGGAAATAGCAATTAAATGGCAATACCCAGCCAGAAAATATATTTCCAGGTTTATAATTTAGAAAAAAAAACCTTTTGGTCCTTAATGAAACTGTGGAAAAAAAAACGAGAACTAAACAAATGCATTTAAATTTTAAACATTGTTTGCACGAGCATCAGCTGGTGGCACTATTGCTCATAGAATCCCTACAGTATGTAAACAGGTCATTCGGCCCAACCCAAGTCTACACCGATTCTCTGAAGAATATCCCACCGAGACTCACCCCCCTACTCTATCCCTGGAACCCTGCATTTCCCATGACTAATCTACACATACCTGGACACTATGGGCAATTTAGCATGGTCAATCCACCTAACCTGCACATCTTTGAATGGTGGGAGGAAACCCAGAATCGAGGCTAGAATCAACCCTGGGTCCCTGGTGCTGTGAGGCAACAGTGCTAACCACTGAGCTGCCACACCATGCTGTGTCATAAAAATGTATTCCAGGACTTAAGTCCAAAACACAAGGCTTAGAGATGCCATCACTTGGAGCTCTCTCTGCCTGATGTAAAAGAAACAATAACAATATTTCAAAGAGGAGAGGGGGTGCTACCCACTGTGTCTAGCCAAAGGTTTACCCCTCAATCAACACCACAAAAACTTATTATCTGGTTGCTATCACAAGTTGTTTGTGGGATAAAGTAGCACAATAGAAAAGCTGCAGAATAAACAGATGGTTTGCTTGTGACCTGTCCAATGCTTTAGGGTTATTCTCTAGCCTAAACACGGGGCTACTTTATTTTGGAGTTGAAGTGCTAACTATAATTTATTCCATTTATGTGAAAGCTCAGAACTGCACATAGACTACTGCTGGGCAATTTTTGGACTGCACATGTCTTCAGCTCCTAACAGATGTCTATGGAATTGTTCAATTATATATACTAGACAGTCAAGAACTGTTCCAAGTTTGTAGCCCAATTGAAGGGTTCGATGACAACCAGTAAAGCTAGTTTATAAACATTTGAACTGCACAACCGGATTTTATAATTAATCACTGTTCGATACTTAAAAATTACCACAAACACATTGTTTTATCATGCTTTAGGACTATCAGTCTATACCTGGAAGTTGGCAGTTTGTGCATCTACAGTGAGCGACTTTGGGAATGATGGGGCAAGAAATAAAACTTTTAGTGTACCAAGTTGTGTTGGATCTTTACTATATTACATTACATAGCCATAGGAAACAGCTCTGAAGCTACTGTACTACTAAAATGTAAAGTTCATTCAGCCCAAGGCATTTTATAAGTCACTAGGTACAAGCCAGACATCACTTCAAAAGAAGAATGAGCAGAAATATGTTGCTACTTCATGCATTCAGATATTATATTGCTCATATGTTGGGGAGGACAACACATCTTCCTTCTGGCTTGGTACAGTTTAATCTACATTCCTCTCCCTTTACTACAGAACAGTACTAATGTTGTATCCTTCCCGTCTCAAATAAAAGGTGTTAAGTTGGCAGTCTTCCAAGCGTCTGGGACTTATCCAGAATTTAAGGATTCTTCGAAGATTACTACCAATGCACCCACTACCTCTGTTGCTATTTCTTTTAATATGCTAAAGTGTATCCTATCAAGTCCATAGGACGTATCGGTCTTTGCCTTATTAGTTTTGCTGGTACTTTTTCTTTAGTGATAATTATTGTATTTATATATTTTTTATTGCTATTAATGTATTCTATGTGAAGGCTGATGCAGAGTATTTATTCGACCTCTCTGCCATTTTCTGGTTTCCCATTATTTCTTCCCCGTACTTGTTTTCTTAGCAGCCTGTTAGCTTTGGAATGTCTTTTCCTTTTTAAATATTTAAAGAAGCTCCTGCTGTCCATCTTGATATTACTTGCATGTTTTTACCCTCAAAGTTAATCTTGAAGTTCTGTTCTTCTTGGTTGCCTTTTAACAGTTTTTAAAAATTCAGAAGGGAGGAAAAGCACCAGATCTTCCAGCATTGCTAACATTTCCCTTGTTTGAAGTTTAAATGCTAATCTTCCCAAAAGTATTTTAAAAAAACACTTAATACATCAATGAAAATGTTTTTGGGCCTGATTTTTAAAAATTGCTGACAAGCTCAGTGGACAAATATACTTATTTCCAGCTGCATTTTATACTTTTTTTCCCCAAGTTCTGTGGCAAAATGATACTGCATTGACGTGTTCAAAGTACGGCAAGTATTTGTGACGTTACATGCACATTTATACCTGGCCTGAATTTTTTTTATTACTTTACAAAATACACACAATATACATAAGTTTAAAATATCACATATACAGAATGCAATTTTGAAATTTAGAAACTGATTGGCCTAGTTGATCTTGTTGCACTAAAACTATGAAAAGATGCAATTAGTGCTCTCATCAACTGCCTCATGTTGGTGAAGGAATGGTTAGTGAAAGATAACCGTTAGTGATTCAGTATGCAGTCTCATACTTCTATGCATCAACATGGTTATTTATAATTCTAAAACTGAAGGCAAATGTACTGCCTAATATTTCACAAGAAGTCCATCATGATTACGCATTCTGTTACCTCCTGACCTAGCTAAAAATTGTCTTATTAGTAGTTTTAATTCTATACTTGAGATAACTTTTTAAACATTGTATCTATTCTGCAGAAAAGCAAATAAGGTTGCAAACTAATGAACTGGGCAATGCTAAGATAGCAAGCTGTGTTACCAACTGGTTAAACAGTACAATGACATCAAGAACAGAATGCTTCAGTATCTCTGGAAGGTCATGCAATGGTCAGGAAGAAATTAGTGTGTTACACACAAAAGAGATCTTCAACAACTTACGAATAAATCTTCATTTTTGTAATGAGAACATTGACTCACTTTGTGCATTTGTAGGCATTTTCACCATCCAATTGTTCAGGCTTCACAAATTGTTCCAGAGCTTTTGTGATGTTTGGTGCAGTCTATAAAATAGTTAAAAATTTTCACAGATAATTAAAATGTTTTCAAATGAGAACTCAAAGAAGTTGATATTTTGGAAGTTTAAAATAACTTCTGAATCAAAAATGTAGATGACATAGATCATTTTGGATTTAAGGCAATCCTTCAGGAAAATCTAGAGTTGAATTTCATCCTGTGCATATTACAGCCGAATTACAGCACATAAATCTTCAGTAAACTAACTGACATTAATCTAATTATAATAATGAAAGCAAGGTAAAGAAGATCAGAAATACATGTCCTTTAGTTAGTTTGCAAATGGGAAGGTAGGAGACAGAGAGTGGTGGAGGAGGATTGTTTTGTGGACTGATGACCTGTGACCTGCAGTTTGCTGCAAGAATCTGTGCTGGGCCCACTGTTTTTTGTAATTTATATATATGATTTGGATGTGAATATAGAAAGAATGATTAGTAAGTTTACAGAGGAGTACAACAGGACCTTGATCAGATGGGCTGATGAGTTGCAGATGGAGTTTAATTTATACAAATGTGAGGTGTTGCATTTTGGTAAGATAAATCAGAGTCCTGGGGAATGTTGCTGAATAGAGACCTTGGGGTGCAGGCTCATAATTCCTTGAAGATGGAGTCACAGGCAGACAGGGTAGTGAAGGCAGGATTTGGTACACTCTGCTTCATTGGTTAGTGCATTGAGTATAGGAGTTTGGATGTCATGTTGCAGCTGTACAGGAGACTGGTTTGGCTGCTTTTGGAATACTGCGTTCAATTCTGGTCTTCCTGGGCAAACACAGATGTTGTTAAACTTGAAAGGATGCAGAAAAGATTTACAAGAATGTTGCTAGCGTTGGAGGGTTTGAGCTATAGGGAGAGGCTATTTTCCCTAGTGTCGGAGGCTGAGGTTACAGAGGTTTATAAAATCATGTGGGGCATGGATAGAGTGAATAGCCAAGGTCTTTTTCCCAAGGTAGGGAAGTCCAAAACTGGACGGCACACGTTTAAGGTAGAGGAGAAGATATAGAAAGGACCTCATGGGCAACCTTTTCATGCAGAGGATGGTGCATGTATGAAGTAAGTTGCCAGAGCAAGTGGTGGAGGCTGGTACCATTATAACACTTAAAAGGCATCTGGATGGATTTGGAAGGAATATGGACCAAATGCTGACAAATGGGACATTCAGCATTGAAGAGAGCATTAGGCCCATCATGCCTGTGCCAATCCTTTGAAATAACTAACCAATTTGTCCTACTCCACTTTCTCCCCAAAACCTTGCAGTTTTTTGCTTTCTCAGCCCTGCAAATCTCCTTTTCACCCTTTCCAAAGTCTTGATATCCTTCTAAAACATAGTGCACAATATTGGTCACAATATTGGTCCCGAGACCTGATTTATAAGGTTTAATATAAATTCCTTGCTTTGTACTCACATACGAGTGCATGCTTCTACACATAAAGCCAAGGGTCCTTTTTTTTGCTAGATATAGCTTTTTTGTAATGTGATTTAGCTAACTGCTATGCAAATACTACGACCTCTCTACATAACTATCTGGAGACAACTGGGGATGCTTGCTTAAAATCTAGACATGGCTTACAAAATAGTTTGAACAATTGTTGAGTCTGAACAGTGTCATTTCTGCAAGTGGACTTCTCCATCAAAAGAACAAAACCCACTCTTGGCAAATGCAGCACAAATTTAGAGAGGAGAAATGGCATCTTAAAAATGCAAATCAGAGCAGAGCTAGCAGGGAACAAAGCATTACAATACCTTTATTTCCAGAGCAATATCCAAGTATGGGTCATATGTGTCAGAAACTCCTTTGCAGTTTAAACACTTTACTAAAATAGGAAAACATCATTAAAAATGCTCTGCAGGACAGTATACAAATTCATATAAGAACACTAAAGATTCAACTATTTAATGTAATGCAGTTAATACAGAACAGTGGTAACTGATTACAGAACAGTAAGGCAATATGCATGTTTAATTTGTATACACATCTATTGTCATAAAACGACAAACGCATAAAAGCACTTTTATTCTTAAATAAATAGAACATACCTCTCGATCTCAAGTAACCTCCAAAAATTTGATATATCATTGTGGTGGCCTGAGTTTGTCTATCCAATCTACAGAAGTAACCAAAAGAACAAATTTGTATATTTTCAAGGTCCAATCAAATTTCAATTAAAATTAAATATTTTATTTCAATGCGATTCGTGACATGACTTATTGCTTTTGAGGATTTAACAAATCTCAAGCTCCTAATCATCCTCAAGTCATCAGAAAACAACAAGTACAGGTGTCACCTTTCCAAAGAGTGGAGCACGGAAAAACAAAAGTAGAGAGAGAGATTAGAAAGATGCAACTTTAAGGAGTCTCTCAATTTGAGCTCTCACTGTGGCAACTCAGCAACGGGGAGTGTCCCACATATTCCAAACAAACCTCAGGCAGAGCTACAGGACACACCACAGAATGACTGTAGTGAATGAAACCTTATTCAGAAACATTGACATTTTAGTGAAATAGAACTTTGCCATGTATTATTTTATTTGATTTGAATCTATGAAGTAAAAACTTATACACGTCCCAATTGTAGAAGTGACAGCCACTTTCTTTGCCAGTTGTTTGTATTTTTAAGCTGGCATTGTCAAACTATGGCTGTTTGATATCTTTTGTCGTGCGGGCATATTTGACAATGCAGTATATACACCGCCTTTCTTTATATATAAATAGCCATTGAAAATAAATAAACAGTTGTTTTAAATATTCAAATTTTCACTTCAATTTGTACTCACTTGTTACTTCCATTTAGGCATGCTTTCTGGAGAGCATCAACAGTGTAACGCAAGAATTCATGTGCATCTTCCTGATTTCCAAATCGAAAATGTTTTGCTATTCCTAAAAGAATGAAAATTTAAATAATGGATACTAATATTCAACTCCAAAATTATTTAGAGAAATTAAACTTAGAGTAAGATGTAGATAGATACTGTCACTTCAAATCCTCTGGGTACCTTCTCTATCATGCCCACAAATTTGAAAGATGAGTAACAATGACTTGTGCTGAATTGGTTGACCATAGACAGGGCAGTCACAGGGCACTCTGAACTAGCATGAGAACTGGGGCAAAGAAATGAACAAGGATTTTCACTCCCCATTATGTCAATGACTCCTGCTGAAATATAACTGAAGGAGGATCAGGTTTTGCTGTGATGCGCTCTATGTCTAAAGTCTGTCAACATGACAACATTGATTACAAATCTTAAAGGAGGAGGTTGCATGAACTGGTTGATGAAGCTATTCACCTGCGAGGGAAGTCATAGCCTGATCCCAATGACTTCGTTGCTAACAGGAGAATGCAACAAAAAGTCATAGGTTTCAATTCCAGTATGAAGTCAATGAGGGTTTCAGGAACATTGGACTAAGGCGTAGGAACAGACCATTTGGCTTTGTGGGTCTTCTCTACTTGATAATGCCATTCACGGCTGATCAATCAGAGGTCCTTAAGCCGTCTTTTCTCTGTCCCATTAACCCTCATTTCCCTTGTCTTATCAAAAATATATCTAACTCAGCCTTGAATAAATTCAACGTTCCAGACTATACAGCCTTCTGATTAAGAGGATTCTATAAATTAACAACTCAGAAAAAATTTTCCTTATCTCTGTATTAAAAGGAAAGCCTCTTATTCACAACAGCGTCCCCTGGTTTGTAGCCTTTCCACACGAGAGGAAACAACTTCTAGGTACCTTCTCTATCATGCCCCTTCAGGTTCTAAATATCTCACTATGATGATTTACCATTCACTCTTCTAAACACCATGATATAGACCCAAACTGTTCATCCTTTCTTTATAAACCCTTCTTTCCAGGAATTAGATGAGTGTACCTTTTTTGAACTGCTTCTAACATTTTTCAAAATTTTCAAAAAGAAAAAAAATGACAAAACTGTAGAGTACATACATGTGGACCCTGAAAGCTGCAGTAAAACTTCCTAACTTCAATAATCCTCTTCCCTTGCAATAAATGTCAATTTTCAACTCACCTTCCTAAGTCATTACATTGGGTCCAAAGAACAGCAATGAGCCAGGGTCCACTGTCTGTTACTACCCAAAAGTACTTATTGCAAACGTTAGAAATCCTTGACTTCAGGATTGGCATTAACTGCGAAGTCTACCCCAAACAATCTTGCTGTCTAAGCTTGGAAGTGAACATTTTCTCAAGGAGAAAGGAAACATCATTTGCACAGAATCATATTGTCTCAAGAGTATTAGATCAAAATCAATACTCTGATCAAAGTAATATTTTAGGCAACTTTCAAGTCTCTGCATTTCAGAATAAAAACAAAATTAAGTGTTTCCACAATTAAAATCAAAGCAGAGTAGAAAAATCCAATGAGTATATCAAATCAACCCAATACCTGCCATTGGCAATCTTCAAATGAAGGACTAATTATTGACTTGACTACAACCTATTGTACACCATGTGGGTCAGTGTTGGATTCTAATAGCTAATAGGTGTGTAGAGTCACAATACAATCAAAAAATACACAGTCAGCAATACATTATATTTATGATTGTCACAATAGCTACTCTAGTGATAACAGCTTAAGGCCTTAACTAAATTAACAAACTCATGCAGTTACACGTATTTCACACACATCACTGCACAATCAGTAATGAAGATTCCAATTTGGGTATTACCAATACATCAGCACCAAAAACAGCAAAGCTAACCATGAAGCAAAATTTTTGAAATAAACTGTCAAATTAGAACAATGTTTCTGATTTATTATTTAATCATATTTTTTCTGGCATAGTAACAACAGAATAGAAACAATTTTCAAGAGGGTCTTCAGGTACACATCCTGTTTACTTTCATTGGTAACAAACTAGAAGAATGAGGATATAGCAATTTCCAAATTCATAGAGGGAAGAGTCAGGATTTTGTTTGATACTAAAACAGTTTGTGTTGAATACCAATAACAGCTCTCAGTCAACCTAGATAGACCAAAGGTAAGCTGGTTTATTTGCATTACCGAAAAGTGCTCTTAGACAATTTCCTTGAGTGGTTCATTTACTATTTTTATTTAGTGACAGAGAGCTTATTCTTCACAGTACTTAATTTGTATGACATCCTTGTCTTGCTTTACACAGCTATCTAGGTCAACCAGAAATGTGCAAATCACTGGTATCATTCACAATGTTTAATGCAAAATGACTAAATATAATGGATAACTGCATGAATTATAACGCCATGAGTACAGCTCAACATAAAGTAATGAATCCAATTAGACAGATATTACTTAATCTTTTAAACTGACACTAACATGCAATACAAAGTGTTTTTCAAATGCTGGGGGGTTGGTTGGCTCATTTAGCTGGATGGCTGGTTTGTGATGCAGTGATGCCAACAGCGCAAATTCAATTCCTGCACTGATTGAGACTATTGTTGAAGGCCCACCTTCTCAACTGCACCCTCTCTCTGTCTGAAACGTGAAGAACCTCAGGCTAAACTGCAACCAGTCATCCTTCTAATGACAGATTAGCTCTATGGCAACCTTATCTGTACCTGCAAGTGTTTTTTCCCCCCAATTAATACCAAACATAATTCATTAAATTTGTAAAAAAAAAATCTTTTTTTGTTTTGTGGGATGTGGATATCACTGGCAAGGCCAGCACTTGTTACCATTCTTAATTATCCTCAGAAGATGATAGTGAGCAGACTTCTTGGATCCTTGTCCACACTTCAGTGTTACTAGAGAGATCAAGAATTTCGTTTCAACTACAGTGAAGGAGAGGTGACAAGGTTCCAAGTCAGGATGGTGTGGGTTTTGGAGGGGAACATGGTGGTGATCTCATTCTTCTCCGCAGTAAAACAAAATGAAATTCCAATGGTGGGGTGACAAATGAGAGAAAAGTCAAACCCATACTGAGGGAAACACTGTGAAGAACTGCTCAAATCAGATTGTTTCAAATTCTCACTGCCAAGCTCCTCCAACCATTCTGTTCCCTATGCCTGGTTTCTGTTGCTCCTCAAGAGACTGAATTTATTATTGGTGGAGCAGCAAGGAAAGGGCGAAAGCACCCACAGCTGGCGGGGTTGGAGCAGATATTCTGACTGGTTTCACTGACATCACATGGAACCAAAACCTGGACAAGATACAGCAAGAAAGCAACAAGCAGTGGGAGGTTTCACTTAACAACGTTCATCCAAGATCAGCTAACGCAGCGCCAAAGTTGGGCTGGCTCAGGTTCACAGAATGGATGGACTGGGGTTGGAGGAGAGAAGCAACAGCAGGAGGGGCAGTCACAGGCACAAAAATGAAGAAATTCTGAAGCCTCCATCTGAATGAATTAGACAGTTTGACTTTCACATTCTTTAAAGACCTAGACAGCTTGATCTGCAGGTAGACTCTCAAGGGGACTATTAATTTTGAAGCTCTGTGCTGTATTTGGATATAGAGGTGACTGGAAGATCTTTCACATCAAATGTTACGTGTTTCAAGCGATAGACAAGTTCAAGGAAATGATGGCTGCCTGGTGAATCAATGATGTTGCTGTTGTCAGCAATGCTACTAGTGGATTTTCAGCTGAATGGATTTGTTTGTTTTCCACCCCCATATTCTAATTAAATTCATTCTAAAACTTACCCGAATTCAGCCTCTGGCTGTAGTGGGAATTGAATTTAATAAATCATTAATAGCTTATAGGAGGTTGTGAAGAATTGGATTAGTGTTTAAAGGATTATTTTAACTCTGGTTTGCTGTCCATGTCCTTCTAGGTGGTGGAGGCTGAAAGTCTGGAAGATGCCAAAGGAACCCCCAGATGTTAACAGTGGAAGATTCAGCAATGTTATTGGAATGCTACCGGAGATGGTTAGACTTGCTCTTGTTGGAGATGGTGGTTACCTAGAACTTGTGGCAGAAATGTTACTTGCTACTTATCACCTTGAAACTGAATTTGACCCAAGCCTTGATATCGATAGCCTGGATATAGTCAGTTGGATACAGTATCAAAAAACTTTCAAATGGTTGATTATTTTCAATCACCAATCATCACCTCATTTCTGACCTTACAGAGTGTGCGCGTGCGTGGGCGGGCGGGGGTCATTGATGAAAGACCAAAAATGCTGGGCCTATGACAAAATCCTGAAAATCTCCTACAGCAATGCCCCAGGACTGCAATGATTGACCTCATGCACAACTATCTTCCTTTGTGCTAAGTACAACTCCAACTAGTGGAGTTTTCCTCGATTCTCATTAGTCCCAATACTGCCAAGGTTTCTTGATACCAGACTCAGCAAGTGCTGTCTGTCATCCTCACTTCCACTCAAGTTCAGCTCTCATATAAGGCTGGATTGAAGCTACAATTCAATCAGAAGCTCCGTGGCCTTGATTGAAACTAATCTGAGCATGTGAGCAAATTATTGCTGTGAAAACTGTTGACAACATCTTCTGTCACTTTGTCGATGATTTAGAGCAGGCTGATAAAATGCTAGGTTCATGAATTGGATTTGTCTTGTTTCAAAATGCACAGATTTCTAAAATTTGCCATCATTGCAACAATCAGCAAATGAGGTTATTTCTTCCATCAAGTGTGCAAACACTTAATTTCAAACTTTTATCTAAGTGTCCTCCATCTATTTCTGGTCAGATTCAAATTCTTTGCTGAGTGTTCTTATTTTGTATATCCTACATCATACTCATTATAGTAGACTTCTCTGGACAAAAAAAAGAAATTGGCTTAAAATAATGCACTGAAAGCTGACACGACAAGTGGCACCACAGAATAGTGGCCATTGATGATACCTCTTAAGCATCAAAACTTCATGCCACACCGGTTTGGAAAGATGCTGAGCAACCATATTCTGGACAGCCTAATTTTGCTGCATCATCCCAAACAATAAACAATTTGCAATAATGAAAGCAGCTGTTCTTTAATTAACACTAGAAATGGATTTCTACATTAAGTCATTATTGATTATATATTTAAATCCTGAAATTTTTTCAGAGAACTTAAATCAACTCTTCACTTTCTTGCCGTAGAAATTTAAACTAATGATTCAGAGTGTTTCAATCTTCTGCAGCGCAAAATTATTTTCATAGAGTCAGGAGAGCAGAAAATTTTATAGGAGAGTATAAAGAAAATAAGAATATATGGTCCTTAAAAGGTTATCTTAAAAGAGGGCCTGATTTGCAACAATTCAGTATTCGCAAAAAAAATGTGTATGCACTTTTGTGTATGCATGTCATTTTGCATTATGCATTCTGGTATAATATGGCAAGTTGCAAATGTGTGTGTCGGGCAGGGATCAAATCAGTATCACAAATGCAAAGTTTCTCCCATTTTAATGAACGCATTAAGTGTAGAGGAAGTTCCTTATAAGTTTGGTAAAAATCTAATAAAGTCTAACTTACTGAGGTCACGAGTCAGTGCTTAGGTGCTGTATCCAGTTCACCTACTGATTTATCAAAAGGTACCACGAGTCTGAAGAGAAAAATCACTGATCAAGTTTGGTGAAAATCAGATAAAATGATAAGTTATGAGGTGATAAGTTAGTGTTCATGTATAAAGGTCTACAGAAGCACAGTCCAGCACACTAAGCATGCCCATTTTCAAAAGAAATCCCCCAGATAACAGATAGGAAGTCACAGGTTCTGTGAAAGTCCTCAAGTTCTCGGGTTGAGATACAATATAAATGAAGCTAATAAACGAGGCTTCTTTTATTCACAATACAAAAAAATCTGTACATCAAAATCTCCTTAAACTTAGCTTGTATCTGGTACAGCATTTTTAAGAATCCCTCCCATATCAGCGGGTCTACTGATGTAGAGGGATTATTAAATCAAATTCCATTTTGCTACAAGGGATACTGGGAACTTTTGAAGTGAGGATTTTAGAAGTGTATTATGCAAGGCCACCCATACTTCCACAAAAATTACAAACCAGTCATTTCAAGTCATGAAAGGCGTTAACGTTTTAAAATTTGACACATATAGTAGAACATCCATTATCCGTGTTTCATTTAACAGCTAAAATTCTGTAAAACATTACTGCACAGCTCATTAGTAGCAATTTCTTCCTCAGTAATTTAACATTACTGCACATTTTATTTATGTTAATTGCATTGGATTATCTTTCGATCCTTTATTAGGAATATTCTTGTCTCATACTTGTACTATCAAAATTTGGGCACAATGTCACCAACCAATTTTCAACATTGTGTGTCACCAAACCGTGAGAGAGATTATGGAGGTTGCAAAACACTTATTTTGACCGCTTATTGGTGTTATTGCAAGTAAATAAATCTTACGTCGGAGGTCGTTAATGACAGACACAGGCTTGATGACATTTCCAGAACTGGAAAAGACCTGGGTAATATGATTCTGCATCATACACATCATACAGAATCCTTGTTCATTACCTGCAAAAAAAAAATAATAATTTTTATTTGCTTAAAATGAGTAAGACGATTGCTGCTTCACAGCAATAAAGTAGCAGAATAATTTTGTACAAGTATACAATTATATGGATGACCTTTATCAAATAACACCTTCCATTCAAACTTTTTTGCTCTGACATAATTGGAAGTGTCCAAGTCTCCCACAATCATCCTGACATCCTCAACACCAAAAAAGTGTCAAATGTTCCAAACTTAAATCCCTTCTATTATCCTCTGTGACCTTGATACTTTGTTTCTTCAATTCCATTAAATTTGCTGCGGTTGACTACGTCACATTCCTCCAACTCCTATCCTTGTTCTACTGTTTAGATCTGCTCTTTAAAAGTTCCACCCTTACCCATCTAAGCAATGCATCTAAGAACTGCCTTTTTGACCCTTGCAGTCCTCTTCAAAGAGCCCTGAGAACTTAACTTTTGCTCATTCTTCATTTGCATGCAGCCCCACAGTACCATGAACTACAGACATGAGGGGGAGCTTTCAAATTGACAGCAGTGACAGCTAGCTTTACACCTGCACAATCTACATCGACACTATGTAGTTAGATCATCTCTGTACTGAGAGGTTGCTTTGCTAACAACTGGCCGTGTAAGAATCTCTGGATTCCATCTAACCCACCACGCATTTAAGTTAAACCAGCCTGTCTATAACCATCACATCCTGTTCAGCTTCAAGTTGAACTACAACCCATATCCCCTCAGAGTGCCACTCATTTCCATTTCTGTAACATTGCCAAACTTGTCTGCCACTTCCAGCCTCAATTAATCTCTGGCTTTCCTCTCTGACCTTCTGTAAACTCCAACTTTGACAAAGTTTTGCTGCATGTATTCTGCCTCATGTTCATTTGTGATCCCCATTATATTAGCTCTTGGTGATCTACACTTGGGTCCTCAATCCTCACCACACAGAGTTAAAAGGCTGCAACACCCGTTTTCAAGCAAGTCATGTTTCCATGTAGGGTTAGTGCGGCCCACGTGGTGCTCTTACCCAAGTTGAAGTCCCACTTTAGGGTTTGAGCGCCAAAATAAGTATTGACTCACCACTGCTGATTTGAGCAAGTATGGAACTGTGAAATCGACCAATTCCACATCATGAACAAAAACAGCAGTCTTGTGTGACATCTGACTACCCTTACTCAACACACACACCAATCAATCTACACAGACAAACCAACCAGCAGCAAGAATCTTAATTTACTGACCTACTGGAAATACACCAGCTTGACCAATGAGCAGTAAGATCCTGCCAATATTTCCATCCACTATGTGCAACTTTCACCTGTTCCCAGTTATTCCTCTAGATGATGGGCAGAGAAGAATGCTGCCCAAAATGCCTCCGTTCTACTCTTTATGGATAGACAGACAATAAAATGCAAGAGCAAAAGTAGGCCACTCAGCCCATCGAGCCCATTCTGCCATTCATTGAGATTATGATTGATCTGATAGCCTGCAACTCCATTTTCCTGACTTATCCCCATAACCTGTGCTTCCCCTTAACAATTAAAATCTATATCTCAGCCTTGAATTTGCCAAATAGCACGGTAGCTCAGTGGTTTGCACCTGCTGCCTCTCAGCACCACTGACCCAGGGGCGATTCCAACCTTAGGTGACTGTGTGCAGTTTGCACATTTTCCCTGTGTCTGCGTGGGTTTATGCCAGGTCCTCCAGTTTCCTCCCATAGTCCAAACATGTGCAGGTTAGGTGAACTGGCCATGTTAAATTGTCCGTAGTGTTTAGGGATGTGCAGACTATGTGGATTAGTCATGGGAAATATGGGGTTACAGGGATAGGGTACGGATCCGAGTCTGGGAGGGATGCTGTGTGGGGGGCGTGGAGGTGGGGGCGGGGTTGCTCTTTGGAGGGTCAGTGCAGAGTTGATAGTGCTGAAAAAGCCATTCAGCCTGTGAGGGTTCTACGATACTAAACGTTTCAGCTTCAAAAGCCCTCTGTGGTTAAAGAATTTCACACATTCAGCATCTTCAGTGAAGAATATCCTTGCCAGTCTTAATTGGGGGATTCCTTACTTTGGGATTATGTCCTATGGTCCAAGGCTGTCTAAAAAGGGGACACAATCTCGTTGTATCCACCCTGTCAAGCTCCTAAGAATCTTACATATTTCTCTACGGTCTCCCCTCATTCTTCTAAACTCCAATAAGTACAAACCCAACCTACTCAGCCTCTTCTCATAAGAAAATTTCTCTATATCTAGATTATCCTAGTGAACCTTCTCTGAGCTATGTCCAATGACAACACATCATTCTTTAGTTATGGGGTCTAAAGATGTTCACAGAACTCCAGGTGCGAACTGACTAGTGCTTTGTATAGTTTTAGCATGGTTTTCCTATTTTGAGACTCTATTCTCTTTGAAACAAAGGCAAACATTCCATTTGCCTTCACTTGCCCGAACTTGGATTATTTTTGGGTACAGCACAAATTTTACGTGTAACTGTAAATGTTTCTTCAATATTTCCTAACTTAGTCAGGGATTTATGCGCATGACACCCATACAATGATATCCTGATGTCAGTCATGCTAGCAGAACACCGGACATGACTCAAGGGGAGGCGATGGCCTAGTGGTGTGTTATTTCGCAGGACTGTTAATCCAGAGACCCAGGAAATGTTCTGGGGACCTGGGTTCAAATCCTGCCTTAGCAGGTGAATTAAGAGCCCGATGATGACCATGAAAACATTGTCGATTGTCAGAAAAACCCATCTGGTTCACTAATGTCCCTTAGGGAAAGAAACTGTTAATCCTCACCTGGTCTGGCCTATATGTGACTGTGGACCCACAGCAATGTGGTTGACTCTTAACTGCCCTCTGGGATGGGCAATAAATGTTGGTCTGGCCAGGGAGACCCTCAACGCATGAATTAAAAAAAGACAAATTAAGGAAATGAAAACTCAGGATTCAAAGGATGATTCATATCATTCAGCAACTCTGGGAACTGGTCTGCAGTGGATATATGATGTGGGGAGACAAAAGGTGAAGCAACAATCAAACTCAACAAAGAAAGATTGTATATACATACATGCTCTAGAATGTTCCCGGGAAAGCATGTAATTTGCAAGAGGTGGCGTATAAGTCAAACACTGCAGTGCAGAGTTTAGGAAGCAGGTGTTGCCCAGATTTTGGAGGCCAGCTCCTATTTTGTGCATCTGTTGCCATTTCAAAGAGATTTTTTCTGCAGGAAACAGTATTTTCTGTGGAGGTGCTATTCCATCACCACTGCCAAGTACATCTGAAATTAAAAATAATTTTATATATCAGAAGTAATGTAGGAAAACAATGTTAAAAACTTTACAATTAAACAAAGCACATCAGAGGAAACTATTCACATTACAAAGTGTTACTGCATACAACATTGACAAAACAGAGTATCTCCTGACACCACGCTGGCAGAGGAGGTTGGCACTGCTGATCTCATCAATACTTGCCAAGAGACAGAAGCAGGAGCTGACTCCACCTACATGCATGTTTGAAATTCTACTGATACCCGAAGAACACTCACCAGCACTGCTCTGCTGGACAGTCTCTGTGCTCAACCCTCCCACTTCCCACACTGCTTGGCTACCTACCTCACTCAACACATCTTTTGGCAACCTCCGCCCCTTCATTTGGCACCCTAACCCCATTGCCATCTCACTTGCAACCCCCCCCTCACCCAAGTCACTCCGCTCCCAGTTCCCCCACTGCCTCTCTCCACTTGTCATCTTGCTTCCAGGGATGATGAGCAGTAAGGCAGCAAGGAGTTAAGTGAGAAGGAGGCAGTGAGGGGTTAGAAGCAGAGCTGCCAAGTATTTGGAGTGGAGCAGTGAGCAAATCATAATCCCAGGACCGGAATTCATTTAAAATATTTGGAAAACACTCATTTTATTGACTCAAATTCTTTGATACACAATATTGCTGCTATATCACTGCTGCTGATTGTGACATTATAGTCTCTGTCTGTATTGGCAGTGAGTGCACCCCATTCAGAGCTGTGGTAATAGCTTTTTACAAAATGGTATAAAATAGTGCAATAGGCAGAAAAATGGCAATTCCTTACCTAGGAGTGGTGGCAGCATAGTTAAGAAGAATTGCCCTGGGAGCTCTCAATATTGAGTCAGGTCCACATGAAATCTCATGGCATCAGGTTAAACATGGGCAAGGAAACCTACTGATTACCATGTACCATCTTCCCTTAGCTGATGAATCAGTAGTCCTCCATGTTGAGCAACACTTGGAGGAAGTACTGAGTGCAAGGGTGCAAAATGTACTCTTGATGGGAACCTTCAATGTCCACCACCAAGAGTTGAGCTGATCGAGCTGATCGAGTCCTAAAGGACACAGCTGCTGGGCTTCTGCGGGCGGTGAAGGAATCAACAAGAGGGAAAAACATACTTAATCCTTCCTCACCAATGTGCCTGCTGCAAATACATTTGTCCATGACAGTATCGGTAAGAGGGACCACCGCACAGTCCTTGTGGAGTTAAAGTCCCACCTTTTCAATGAGAATACCCTCCATCGTATTGTTAGGCACTATCACTGTGCTAAATGGGACAGACAAACAGGTCTAGCAACTCATCCATGAGGTGCTGTGGCCATGAACAACAGCAAAATTGTACTCCAGCACAACCTACACTTCATGGCCCAGCATATCCCCTGCTCAACCATTACCTTCAAGCCAGAGCATAAACCCTGGTTTAATGGAGAGTGCAGGAGGGCATGCCTAGGTGCAGCACCAGACATACTGAAAAGAAAAAAATGGGTTGTCAACCTGGTGAAGCTAGTAAACAGAAGAACGTGCATGCCAAACAACATAAGCAGTAAGTGACAGACAGAGCTAAGTGAACCTGATCTACAGAAGAGATCCAAGGAAAAAACCCAAAAGAACTACAGATGCTGTAAATCAGAAACAAAAACAGACGTCGCTGTAAAGCTCAGCAGATGTGGCAGCATCTGTAAAGAGAAATCAAAGTTAACTTTTCGGGTCAGATAGCCCTTCCTCAGAACTGACAGTAGCTAGAAAGGTGGAGGAACACAGCAGGCCAGGTAGCATCAGAGAAGCAGGAAAGTTGACGTTTCGGGTCGGGACTTTTCTGAAGGACCATTTCTGAAGAAGGGTCCCAACCGAAAACGTCAACTTTCCTGCTCTTCTGATGCTGCCTGGCCTGCTGTGTTCCTCCAGCGCCACACTGTTATCTCTGACTCCAGCCTCTGCAGTTCTTACTATCTCTGTAGCTAGAAAGCTAGAAAGTTATATGCAGAAGATAGGATAGGGGGAGGGGATCAGGTGTGAATGATAGTGGGGATAGAGCCCAAGAGAGAAGAGCAGTTGGACAGTCAAAGGAATGGATAATGATCTGGCTAAGAGGCTGAATAGCTGTTAATGGAGACCGTTAGTGGCTTACAATAGGTAAGTGTGTAATGGCAAACTATATGATAATAAGGCCTAATGTGTGAGGTAGAGGGCCAGGACATGGGAGAGTTTAGGCCCTAAAATTATTGAATCGATATTGAGTCCAGAGGGCTGCAGGGATAAGATCCAAGCTCTGTAGACGTGCCATATCTAGCCATGAATGGTGGTGGGCAACTTAACAAGTCACTGAGGAGCTCCACAAATATCTTCATCCTCAATGATAGAAGAACCCAGTGCATCAGTGCCAAAGATAAGGCTGAAGCATTTGTAACAATCTTCAGCCAAAAGTGCTGAGTGGCTCATCCATCACAGCCTCCTCCAGTAGTCCCCAGCATCACAGATACCAGTCTTCAGCCAATGCGATTCATTCCACATGATATCAAGAAATGGTTAGAGGCCCTGGGTACTGCAAACAGTATGGGCCCTGACAATATTCCAGCAATAGTATGCAGGCTTGTGCTCCAGAACTTGCTGCTTCCCTAGCCAAGCTATTCCAGCACATCTACAACACTGGCAACTACCTGACAAATGTGGAAAATTGTCCAGGTATGACCTGTACACAAAAAGCAGGTCAAATCCAACCCAACCAATTGCCGCCCCTCCTTCTACTCTCGATCATCAGTAAAGTGATGGAAGGTGTCATTAACGTGCTATCAAGCAGCACCTGCTTAGCAATAATATGCTCAAACACTCAGCTTGGATTCCACCAAGGCCACCTAGTTTCTGACCTCTTTACAACCTTGGTTCAAAAGAGCTGAATTCCATTGGTGAGGTGAGTGAGACAGCTTTTGACATCAAGGCCGCATTCGACTGAGAGTGGCATCGAGAAGCCCTACCAAAATTGGAATTAATGGAATCTGGGGGCATCCTCCGCTGGTTAGAATCATACCTGGCACATAGGAAGATGGTTGAGATTGTTAGAATCAGTCATCTCAGCTCCAAGACATCTCAGACATCTCAGCTTCATCTCTGCAGGAGCTCCTTAGTCAGAAGTCACAAGACACCAGGTTATAGTCCAACCATCTTCAGCTTCTTCATCAATGACCTTCCCTACATTACAAGGTCAGAAATGGGGTCGTTCGCCAATGACTGCACAATATTCAGGACTCTTCGCAATTGCTCAGATACTAAAGCTGTTCATGTTCAAATGCAACCGGTCCTGGACAATATTCAGACTTGGGCTGACAAGTGGCAAGTGGCAAGAAACTTTTACACCACACAAATACAAGGCAATGACCATCTGGAAGAAGAGATAATCTAACCGCCACCCCTTGACATTCAATGGTGTTACCATCACAATCTCCCATTATCAATATTCTAGGGTTACTACTGACCAGAAATTCAACTGGAATCGCCATATAAATAGTGACTACAAAAGCAGGTCACAGGCTAGAAATACTGCAAGTAACTCATTGCCTGACTTCTCAGACCCTGTTCACCATTTGCAAGGCACAAGTCAGGCATGTGATGCAATACTCCCCACTTGATTGGTAGAACATGCATAACATCCACTCCCTCCACCACTGAATCCAAGTAGCAGCAGTGTGTGTGTAATCTACAACAGGAAATTCATCCAAGATCCTTAGACAGCACCTTCCAAACCCACAACCACTTTCAAAAACAAAGTTGCTGGAAAAGCTCAGCAGGTCTGGCAACATCTGTGCAGGAGAAAACAGAGTTAACGTTTCGGGTCCGGTGACCCTTCCTCAGAACCCACAACCACTTTCGTCTTAAGTGGAAAGGCAGCAGCTACGTGTGAACAACATCACCTGCTAGTTCCCCTCCAAGTAACTCAAATGTCACTGGCTAGGCCAACATTTACTGCATATCCCCAATTACCAAGGTGATAGGATGAGTTACCATCTTGAACCACCACAGTCGTTCAGGAACAGGCATGCCTACAGTACTGTCAGGAAAGGGGTTGCAGGATTTTGACACTGCAGTGAAGGAATGGTGATAGGGTTCAAGTCAATCAAGTAACTTGGAAGTGAACTTGCAGTGGTGGTGCTCCCTTGCATCTGCTGCCTTGTCCTTCTAGACGACAGAGGTCTTCAGTTTGGAATTACTGTATTACTGTAGTGAATCTTAAAGATGGCACACAATATTGCCATTTGCACTACTAGTAAAGGAAATGAATGTTGAAGGTAGTAGATGAGGTGCCAAGCAGGTGCTTTGCTATAGAAGGCACTGAACTTAGTATGGATGTTGGAGCTGCACTTATCCAGGTGAACCAGATGAGTTTTTCCAACAAATGACAATAGCTTTACATTACAATTTGACTGAAATCAAATTTCACGATTTGCCATTTCCGGATTGCCACAGAAAATCAGTTTAGGGCTCTAGATTACTGGTCCAGTGTCTTTAACACTATGTCACTACATAGCAACAAAAAACATACTTTAATGCTGTTTATTTGTCTAAGGTATGGCAGTTGATTCAGTGTAATTAAAAAGGGGAGAAGACAAAAAAAGTAACTATTGGCCAGTTATTGTATGTTATTGAGAAAATGTTACCGTCTTATAAAATATGTAATAGCAGAGGATTTAGAAATACATAATATTATCAAGGAGAGTTAACATTGCTTTATGAAGGGGAAGTGATGCCCAACAAATTTACTAGAATTCTTTGAGGAAGTAGCAAGCAGGATAGACAAAGAGGAAGTAGTGGATGCAATATATTTTGATTTTCAGAAGACGTTTATCAAGGTACCACACATCAGGTTACTTAATAAAGATATGAGCCAATAAGAGATAACACATTAGCATTGATAGAGGATTGGCTAACTATTAGAAGACAGAGTTGGCAAAGAGGACATTTCACGATGGCAAGCTGTAACTACTGGAGTGTCACAGGGATCAGTGCTGGAGCCACAATTATTTACAATATATATGAATGACTTGGATGAGGAGAGTGAACATATAGTCAAATCTGTGGATAATACAAATAGGTGGCAAGACAAGTGGTACGGATGACACAAAGAGTCTACAGAGGGATAGAGACAGGTTAAGCAAGTGGGCAAAAACTTGACAGATGGAATATGTGGGAAAATGTGGTATTATGCATTTTAGCAGTAAGAGTAAAATGAGCTGAAGACTACTTAAGTGGAGAAAACCTGCAGAAAGCTACAGAAGAGGGATTCGGGAGTCCTTGCCCATGAATCACAAAAAGCTAACATCCAAGTTCAGTTGGTAATAGGGAAGGCAAATGGAATAAAATAACTTTAGTTCAAAGGACAGTGAACAGAAAGCAGCTGTTCCCTTGAGTCAAAAGGTTAATAACAGGGGATCATAACTTTAAATTGAAAGGCAGAGAGGGGATTTGAGGAAAAATGTTTTCATCCAGAGTGATAGGTGTCTAGAAGGTACTGCCTGGGAGGGTGGTTGAGGGTGGTAACCTTACAACCTCTAATAGGTACTTGGATGAGCATTTGAAGTATCGCAACATTCAAGGCTATGGGCCTATAATGGGAAAGTGGGACTAGTGTGGATAATAGTATATTTTTGGTGGTACAGACTTGATGGGCCAAATGATCGCTTCTGTACTGTACAATTCTATTATTCCAAGGTTCACTCAGCAGATACCAGATATAGAGGGTCAGGCTGAGTAGTTTGTCCTGTACTCGGGAATATAGAATGAGAGGCAACCTTATTGAAACACACATGATGATTAGGGGATTTGTCAAGGTAGATGTACAAAGGTTGTTGGCTCCCCGTGGGAGGGACTAGGACCAGAGGGCATAATCTCAGAATAAGGGCTCACACATTTAGGACAGAAATGAGGAGGAATTTTGTCTGAAAGTAGTGAATCTGTCAAATATCAATGAATGCAGAAGCTGCACTGTTAAGTGCCATCAAGACAGAGACAGATGAATTTTGAATTGGCAAGGGAAACAAGAAAAGTGGAGTTGAGGTCTAACAGATCAGCCATGATCTCATTGAATGATGGAGCAGATCCAATGAGCTGAATGGCCGACTCCTGTTCCTACACCGCATGGTCTTCTAGCTTTTGTCACCAAGCAAATTATTGGATCATTTCTGAAGCATTAACTTCCTACTTTACTGTTGTTTACATTGAATAATTTTGAAATTATCGAATAGTACAAGCATAGTAAATTGTAAAAGACAACATACAGCCTGCTTTGAGCTCCAACAGATTTTGCAAGAAGTACTGCAGTTTATTCACTGGAGTTTAATATTCCACAAGACTGAAATATTCTAATATTGCACGCAGTCTGCAAGTTACACCATGTCTGATGAACGGTACAAAAATTGGCCTCAACAATATTAAATTAACTTTTACGAATGAGACCAACTATTTATTCAGTTTGATTTTTATGCATGTGCAAACAAGTATAATACAATGTCTTGTTCTTTCTTTATAAACTGCAATGATGCACTGTGAAAAACATTGACTTAACAGCTTGTGCAAACACCATTGAATTCCCCACTCATTTAGCAAAAAGACTAAGCAGTACAATAATGCAACAAAACACTGCTCTTTTGGAGTTGGGAAACTGACAACTTAGCAATAAATCCAAAGAAAATAAATTTGATTCGATTAGTTAAAGGGATGCGCAAAACAAGTATGACCTGAAACAAAGCAAGATTCAGAGATAACATTAGTCATTGAAATTAAACAGAAAAACTGAAATATTCACACACAATTAAACAAAAAAGATTTAATAAACAAGAAAGGACCCAAAAATGCAATGAGGAATCACGCAAAAGCCAGTTTAGGACAATTAGAAGATTTAAGAGAACAGTCGAGGCTGACTGCAGAGAGCAATATGTTAAGCTATTCAATTATCGCTTTGGTTTAGCTGGTACCATTCTTGCATTGGGCACAGGTTAAAAACACAATGATCTCAATATACACCAGTAAATTCACACTGGGGAGAGACGGTTCACCTGCTCTGAGTATGGAAAAGGTTTCTCGAGGTCAACAATATATTCTTTGAACCACAACGATTGGATTTTGCCGCTAATCACATTCAGGACCTAACAGCATTCATTGCAATTGGTTTCTCCTAATTGTTGGAAATTGTAACAATGTTTGCATTCTGGAGAAGATTTTGCTGTAAAAAAAAACAACACAACTAATCTAGGTTGACAGCTCCGTGCTTTAAACAGAGTGCTGCAATATTGAAAGATGCCATCTTTCAAGTGTAATGCTTAGTGGAGGACCGGTTTCTGATTTAGAAGAAAGCATACAATGAAGATGAAGAATAGAGATTTAAGCAATCTTGCACCATAAACAGACCAACTACTCATCACCAGATTGTGGGATCTTGCTGTGCATAATTGACACTTGTATTCATCTGGCTACATGTCAGGGGTAATTGTGAAGCAAACAAGACTTTTTATCTTAAATGTTCATTCATGAAATTACGCCAATATACAATCTACGTGAGGATGAAACGAACAGAACAATGTGCTGAAAGGATGAGATGAAAATGGGTGGCAGAATACTTTTCTGGAGCATAAACCAACTGCAATTAGTGGCATGTTTTTGTGCTGTACAGACCAAGTAATCGCCTCACTATTGCAGAATTCCCAACCAATGACCTGCTGGTGCAGCCACAGTAATTATATGACTTGTCCAGTTAACCTTCTGGTTAATAACGACCCCTAGGTTGCTCTGATGAGAGTTTTGACAAAGGTAATATGATTGTATTATGAGGGAGGTGTTTGAATTCACTTTTGTTAAAAAGAATCATTGGTGCCAGCCAAGTGCCAAGCAATGTTACTCGTCAGCCCAAGCCTGGGTGTTGTGCAGTTGTAGGCAAGAAGAATTACTTCTAGTATACCACAGACATGCAATTCTGGAGTCTTTAAGATACTCAGAAATATGAAGACATCATTTCTCATATTATACAATCTACTTATGATTATAAGGGAGATTCATACCATTCTAATAAATCTGGAATCATTAAGCTGATGCTGCAAGGGATTTAATACAGATAATTGTATTTGATGAGCAGCACAAAAGAAGGCCAAACCAACTGTATGTATAATAAACGGACATGTATAGTATCTGAACATTAGAGAGGCACAGTCATTAGTAAAAATGAATAAGATCCTAGGTGCAGGCACTGAATGTTTATTGAAAAATTTCTATAGATGGAAAACTAGTAGGAAGAAACAGGATTGAGATGACAAGTGGAAACAGCGGCTTAGTACACAAACTGGACAATTGTGCTCCCCAAACCTGTCCATTCCCAAGTCCGTATCGCCCATCATAAACCCATAGTGCTGCCAATTAATGCAAGTTCTATCTAACTTTTGTTCATTACGATTTCTAAGTAGATTTTTTTTTCAGTAAACTTGGTTTTTGTTAAGAATGTTTTGATGAAGACAGTCTCATGATAAATTAAGGTAGATGGACAGTGCAGCAATAGATGTTGTGAAAAGTCAAGCAGCAGCATTAGCATCAGGAATGAAGAAGCACATTGAAAGCACCTGAAAAAGCTCATCACAAGATCACAGTATCTGTAAACTTGGTCTATAAATTTGAGACTAAGTGATTGTTGTCAGGGAAAGGTTAGACAGAAGGCCAACAGGGGGAAAGAAACAGAATATAGAACTTTAAAATCTTAAATGAAATTTAATAAAAATTAAGTCATTTACTTGGAATTAGAAGCACAGAACTGAAGGATATATGGATGAAATTCTGCAGCCCGAGAGATCACAGCAGGCCATGACAAGGAGATATCCAATAAATGCAGTGATAATTCATTCAACACAAAGCTGCATCCATCAAACTTACTTTGATCTTTTTGTACTAGTTGCTTCGGTTTCTCTTGTAGTGCACTTGTGAACAAAGCAGCTCCAGGTATAGGTCCTAAGATTTTATTCTTTGGTACCTCTGTAATAGGGGATGTTGCAC